AGTACAGGGATGATTTAGCAATAGTGATAATATATTCAGCAGTGGTGGCCATCACAATAGACCTTTGCAGAGTCCAGAAGACACCCATCCATGGTCCTGTTCAGGGAAGGACTTAGGTGGTGACAAAGATTCTCTCCTTGACCAAACTTTAGTCAGGCTCCTCTGAACTATCTTCTCATTGAACCATGACGTTCAGTTTCTGATGTCCATCTCTTAATTGTCCACTTTAAGCCAAAATGCTGTTGACTCAGTTTAGTGAAAATTTCCCACCCCCATTCTGACCACTTTCTACAACTTATCACCCTGGTCTACCTTCAGCAAAAATATTGCTAGGACTCTTTAGCAAAGAATTATCCTACCTCTTAGTGATTTTTTGTTAACCAACCTCTGACCCTGCTCCTCAGCTATAAATCCTCCCTTTTCATTATTATATTCAGAGTTAAACCCAATCTCTCCCCCTATTTCGGTTAAGCCACCCTGTTTGTGATACACTGTTAGGACAGCCCTAGAAAATTATTAATACAAAGTCATTCTAAATAAAAAGAGAAAGGAAGGAAGAGGTGGTCAGATAGTGCAGATGAACTCAGGTACATGAGGGGAGCCCCAGGGCAGGGAGCACTACAAGAAATGGGTGAGGGGAGGAGATTTGGGGGTGCGAGGGACACAAGGTGATGGGGAGCATGAAGAGTTCTGAGGAGTAAAATGCAGATACTCAGTCTGACAATACTGACATTTAGAGAATTTGTAGATGAGTGACCCATGGTTTGTGACATTAATGAATGAGACAGTGCCTGCTTCAGAGTCTAGGAAAACTATCACTAGATGGGGAGGAACAGCCATGGGAAGAGTCAAGACCTTGGGATCAGAGGTGGAAGAATCCTCAAAGGCATTGAACTCACATTCGTTCTGTAACCCGACCACTCAGCAGCCATTTTCAGGTAAAAATATAGAGTACTTACATTAATATAGATCATTTATGTTTGGGTTAAAAACAAACACAGAGTTATTATTATTTTTTTCTATTGAGGGAACTTGTGTTACTGTATACTCCCAGGATCCAGGCAATCTTCCCAGACACATCTATTTCCCAGTAATATTTCCCTGAGGGGAAATTTTGGCAACCCGTGACATCAACAGCTGAAAAATTGCATAGATATACATTCCTAAACATAAAATGGTTCCCAACTGTCACTTTTCTCTGATCCACAGAAATGACAGCATTTTAAAGAGTGCTGAGTGGATTCAGCATCAAGTTCACTCTAGGAAAAAGTATACAATCAGGTGAATTAAATAGGATGTGTGTGTCTTGTGACATTGTAAGGAGAGATATTGGGGATTGACTGGGAGGAACATGAGTTATGTAGTTCATTTAAGAACTGGCAGACACATTAACTAAGATCATGGGTCTTAATAGTAACCACAACTTCTAAAGAGGGATCAGAACATGATGATTTGAAGATCCTATAAGTTCTCACCCCAGTAGCATTAAACCTCTTTGAGATACGAAATGACAAAGTTTCAATGATGTTAGAAGCAAAGGAGGAAACATTAATACCTGTCTTTTCTCTCAAGTTAAGGACAGGGACGAGGAGTCCTGTGAGGCTGTCAACTGGTAAATGAGAGGACGCTGGGCCATTCCCACTTAGACATGATCCCATGTTCTGCATAGGGTTTCTATCGCTCCTTTATCCTCATCAAGAAACAACATCCACTCTCCCATTTTGCTCTGATACTACAAAAGTTTCACACACACCCCACCCCCGGGCTCTCCTCACCATTAGTCACAGTATATTTTTAGATTAGGGGCTCTTAAATGTCTTTTTTGTTTCTTCAAAAAAGTTTTTGGCACTGCTTCTAGGAAGGCACCAATGGTACTTTAAACACATCATCAGTTTATTTTAGTTTTCCTGCAATATACTGAACATCAAAAATGGACTCATGGCCCACATTAAATATGAATACTATAAAATTCATGACTTTTGTTAAAGATGACCATGGGTCATTACAGCTGTTTGGGATCAATATAATTATCATGTATTCTTCTACTATGAAGGAGTTTTTACCCTATAACAGAAAAATGATATATTCTTATTAAGTTTCCAATATTCTTAGAGTTAAGAGAAAAAACTTAGTGTCTGTCATAATTAATTTCATGTCAAATTGGCTAAGACACAGAACCTAGATATTTAATCAAACACTTGTCTCAATGTTGCTATAAAGGTTTATTGTAGATGAGATTAATATTTAAACAGTTCACTGAATAAAGCAGATTACTCTCCATAACGTGAGTGGCCCTTGTCCAACCAACCAAATGCCTTAAGAGAAAAAAAAGTAGGGTCCCCTAACAGAAGGAATTCTGCCTCCAGAATTGGGCTTCAATATTAGCTCTTCCCTGGATCTCCAGCCTGCCACCCTGCCCTAAAGATTTTGGACTTGTCACCCTTCATAATTTTGGGAGTCAAATGCTTTACATCTATCTATTTATCTGTCTGTCTGTCCATCCATCCATCCATCCAGCCAGCCAGCCAGCCAGCCAGCCAGCCAGCCAGCCAGTCATCCATCCATCCATCCATCTAAGTGCACATCCTATTGATTCTGTTTCTGTGGAAAACCTTAATACAGGGTCTAGGAATAGACCTGTATAGCCTGAGTGACAAAGCAACACTAAGGAAAATAACTGTCCCATGTTCCTCCCCAGGGAGATAGATGAGTTACCTGAATGGGGAGGGTACATGGCACAGCAGAGGGAAATGCAGGTTGTGGGTGCTAAGATGAAGAGCATACCTAAATTTGGACAGTATAGAGAGATTAGCAGACGGGATAAAGCCTGCACAGCATCATTAAGCAAACTGAAAGGTCACTGAGATATCATATTGGTGAATGCAAATCATGTATTTCTTCTAATGAAAATATCAGGTCCCCAAATAAAAAAACTTATGATCAACACCAGGTGAAGGCCCTAGATACCCATACATTGTCCTTGGATGGCCCTACAGGTTGAAGTTTCTTAAGTCACGAGCCCACCCAAAATTTCCGTCGACACACGTCTGCTCCACGGAAGGCCCAGCACAGCCCTGGGACCCCAGAAACACAAGAAGGCAGGATTGCTGCTTGGAGGTTCATGTGGAGGAGAAAGCCCTAGAATTGATTTGCAAGAGCAAATCTTCACTTGGTACCCACCAGACTTTTTGAAGCACTTAAAACTTTTGTATTCTTTTCTGGATCTTTTTCTAGGGCCAGGAGCTTCTGTTAAAAAAGTATGCAGGTTTGTTTTCTGTTGTATATAAATATTCAGGTCTTTCCTTGTAACAAGGTGTCTCGTCCTGAATTGGGTATTCCAGTAAATCAAAGACATGAATGCCCTTGGAGCGTCGTTTGTCAGTAATTCAAGAGCGCAGACTATTCCTCGTGAACCAGGTCGGTCACCACAGCAACGGGGTGACAGGAAGGCAGAGGTAAGAGGAAAAACGTAGAGGTTAATTTTTCCCAGTTTCCATGGATGAGGGATAAAATATAAACATGTGCATACACACAGAGATTCTGGAAGTTCCCACCTTGAAATGCTTTGTCTCATTAAAGGTTATCCCAAGTGAGGAAGCTGGGAATTCCTGGAGACAATCAGAAATGAGGAAAGACAATACTTGACCACATAGGGCTTTGTTTTTTTTCTAGTTCTGAATTTGATTTGGGGAAGAGTTAGAAATAAAAATGGGAAAGATATGGGGGTCCCAAGCAGCCCTGAATGAATATCCCTTGCAGAAAATATGCCCTCCTATCTCATTGAAAGAAGAACAGGTTTTTGGTTCTTTGGAACCTTCAACTCACTGCAAATGTGAGGCTGATGAAGGTAACAAAACACTCACCTCCTCTATTGTCACAAAATCCCACAATTGTACTTCTGCCTCCTACTCTATCACTATGAATAATAAGTTTTTAAAGCTAAGCAAACAGAGCTAATATTTAAATCAATTTCAATAACATAGAATTAATTACTTTGGGAAGAAAAAGACTGGGCAGCTAGACATTTATTTTACAATTAGCTAGAATTTAAAGAAAGTTGGCATTTTTCACCTTTATTTTATTTCTTAAAGCAAAGCAAGAGCAATAATGTTGAAAGTAAATTAATATGTATTCTTAAATCATTTATTTCAGTCACAGTAAAAGGCAAACAAAAAATAGACAGCATACTTGATTTCTCATTGTATGCTAGAAATGACAGAAGTTACTGAAGACATTCTGTTGTTCAAGTTTCACAATACTACATCAGATAAATTTTGTTATTTTTATACAAATGAGAAACTGAATCCCATAGGATTTATATTACTTGATTAAGGCCAATAGGTAGTTAACCAAAATTACAATAAAATTCTCACTCTCTCTCTCTCTCTCTCTCACACACACACACACACACACCTGCTCATATACACACCCATATCTATCACTGGTAGAGCTGGAGTGGTCTAGACAGCAGCTCAGAGGGATCTGGGATATGAAACATGAGACTTTGGTAAAAAACCTCTAGTGCCCTGAAGACACAACCTGTTTCATGAGACATTGACACAGCTTATATTTCACAGAAATTAGTAGAGAAAATGTTTGTTCAGTAGAGACATTTACATATTTTATACTTAATGACATTTTTTTCTCAAATGATTCTACATAGAGCATGGCTTATATACCAGCACTCTTCAGTAAATAAAGCCAGCATTCAAGTATCTTATTCAAGTTTACACTGCACATATTTGGAGAGACTGGACTTGAACTGGACACCCTGGACACAAAACTTCCACTTAGTACATATTATTTATGATATTGTTTTTTTCCTTTTTTTAAAAATCCTCACCCAAGAATATTTTTCTATTTATCTTCAGATAGAGTGAGAGGGAAGGAGAGAGAGAGAGAAAGAAAAACATTGATGTGAGAGAGACACATTGACTGGTTGCCTCCCTCATGACCCCAACCAGGGCCGGGGACAACCTGCAACTGAGGTACGTGCCCTTGGCCAGAATTGAACCTGAGACCCACTGGTCCACGAGCCACATTCTACTGCTGAGCCAAACCGGCCACGGCTGATATTGTCTCTTTCACTTCTTAATGAATAAGAAATATCATGGATAAACTCACACACCCCTGAGAACTCATTCTGTAGTGAATGACTCCTTTATAAGGTCTTCAATACCATACAAACGTTGTTGAGAAGCTTTCCTTGTTCTCAGTTGCAGAGAAAATGACATTGTAAAAATTGGTGATGTCACCTCAATACTAGCCTTTTATTTTTTATGAGGCATTGGTCATTTTTCTTGGGATTATAAAAAAAGGATGAATTAGGATTCTCTGTTAATGCAAACAAGATATTGGGGGAAATATGACATAAGGCAAATTGTGCACCCTATTGATGAATGAAGGGTGCTTGAATTTAGAAAGAAGAAAAAGAAAGGCAGCAAAGAAGAGATGGTGAGAATGGTGCAGATAAACTCACTTTGCTGGATGCGCCAAAGGAAAACTAGGCCTTGAGGAACATAGTTTCAGGGTGCCAGTACATGTCATAGGATTGAAATATGGAAACACTTTCTGAGAAAAGGAACATGAAGAGAATTTATAAATGAGAAAACCATGGTTTGTGACATTCAAAAATGAAACAGTGCCAGCATTGTAGTCTAGGAAAATCCCAACACGATGGAGAGGAACAGTCAGTTTGAGGGGTACCTTTGATGGGTTAAAATTAAAACCATCCTCAAAAGCATTATATTCACATTGATTCTCTAACCCTATAACCCAGTAGCCACATTTAGGTTGGCATCTGGAGTAAATATGTTGACAGTTGTTACTCTGTCTTACAAAACCCGGCCTAAAGTCAGGGCATTTTTCAACACATACTCCCAAGGCCCAGGCACGTTTCTCGGACACATCCACCTCCCAGTAATATTTCCATGAGGTGATCACCAGCGAGCCGAGTATACCATAATCCTCATTTTCACATTTCTCAGAAGTACAATTTGTATTCTGACGTAACACACATCTCACTTCTTTCCCATCTGCAGAAATGTCAACATTTGATTTTTTCTTGGGAGGATTCAGGGTCACGTGAACTGTCGAAAAATCAAAGGGTTGAGTGAGGGATATGATGTATCTTTACTTGTGACACTGTAGAGGGATCTTCAGAATAATGAATGGGAACTGGGAAGAACTTAGCTCTGTTCTTGGAGAGAGGTATAATATTGCAGAAATAAAATACAGTAAACCTCGATATAATGGACTAATTCAGAAGAGGGGGTGTCCCTTAAAGCCAAAAGTCTATTATATAACAATGTAGGTTTTCTGAATGTGTATGCAAAAAATTGACAAATTAGTTAGTTCACCTGTTTTTATTTATGTGGACATGCATGTGTAATTAAAATTAAGCATATGCAAAAAGTTAAATTTCACAGAAAACTTTTCTATATGTATTATAGTCATTTTAATGTATACTGAATAGGTCTAGTAAATGCGTGCATTTACCAGTCACCGAGAGTAAACAAATGCACAAGGCTGGGGAGAGGCTTAGCACACATGGGGACGCTGGCTGGCACGTATTAAAACTGCAAGAGAGCCCTGGCCGGTTTGGCTCAGCGGTTAAAGCGTCCGCCTGCGGTCCGGAGAGACCCAGGTTCGGTTCCCGCTAAGGGCACGTACCTCGGTTGCAGTTTGTCCCCGGCCCTGGTTGGTTGTGCGGGTGGCAGCCACTCGATGTGTCCCTTTCACATCGATGTTTCCCTCTCTCTCTCTTCCTCTCTCTCCCTCCCACTCTATCTGTACAAAAAATGGAAAAATGTCCTCGGGTGAGGATAAAAAAAAAACTGCAAGAGAAAGTCACAACAGGAGACAACAGAACCAATTACCACATACAATGTGTTGTGGTCATGTGCTAATTATTCGCAGAACATTGGTTGTGAGTGGTGACGCTTAGATTTAAGTATGTAGTCTATAATCATAGATATGTAGTATTTCTTTATGTCAGTGAAATTACTACAGTGTTTGTTTCATACATATGACCTATTCTCTAAAACGTATTAAAAATAACAGTGCATCAATAACAAAAAATAACCTGTTAATTTAATTATAAGCAAATCTTGGTTAGAAGAATTTTAAAATTAAGGGTGTTGCCTTGGCCAGTCTGGCTCAGCAGTTGGAGGGTCAACCCACAGACCAAAAAGTCTCAGGTTTGATTCTGGTCAAGGGCACGTACCTGTTTTGGTCTTGTCTTGATCGGGGTGGTGTGGGAGATAACCAATCAATGTGTCTCTTTCACATCGATGTCTCTCTCTCTCTCTCTCTCTCTCTCTCTCTCTCTCTCTCTTTTCCCTCCCTCCCTCCTACCCTGTCTGAAGATAAATGAAAATATACCTTCAGTTGAGGATTTTTAGAAAAATTAACAGGGTGTTATTTTTTTACATATGACATATGAACTGGAAATTCTGTCCATTAATCCCAAAGTGCGTTAGATCGAGGTCCACAAAATACACCTGTCTGTGCATATGTGTGTATCTAGAAAGAAAATACGAGTCTTAAGACATGAGACCTAGTAGAAAATGTGAACTTCGGAAAGAAGGTGAGGACAGAGTGACTTCATGACACTGTGATTTCTCCTTACCCCAATAGTGTCGCATCCACGTCAGCCCTGAAATGATAAAAATCCATAATATTAAATACAAACAAAGGAGTCAGCACTAACACCTATTTCTTTTCAGATCAGGGAGAGGCTGGAGTCTATGTGAGGCAGTACACAGAAGAATGAGAGGTGAAGAAGACAGCTGACCACTCCCCATTGAATATGCCCGTGTCATCAGTACAAGATATCTATCCTGCTTTGTCTCCTCTGTCCACACCCAGAAACGGAACCCTCATCCCTCTTTAACCCCCACATAACAAGAATCTCACAGCCACCCACTTGCTCTGGCATTCCTCACCAGTAAACTTTTGCAGCACCTCTGTCAGATCTGGTCCTTTGAACACACTCCTTTGTTTCTTGACGAGAGTTTTTGGCCTCCTCAGAATGAAGGTCTTACTCCTAGGGATGACAAAAATTGAATCTGACGCCTCTGACTCCATCCCTCCAAAACCACTGATTTATATCCGTTCACCGCCATTGAAGCATATGAGTCCCATTCTATGGAGACACTGAGAAAGGAGAGAGTAGACTCCTGATTTTGGAGCCAAAGAAATGTGCTCATGTCCAACTTTCCAGTATACTCTGTATGAGCTTAGTTAGGAAGGCCTTGATCTCTCAGAAGTACAATTTATTCCTTCCAAAATAATAACCAACCTCTTCCTCTCTACCTCCTGGAACCATATACAATTATGTGAAATTAACTTTTTTAAAAAAAGGAACCTTTGGTTCCTTAAAACAAATTGATGTGAGGAAAGTCACTGCAATGTTGTAGAGAGATGTTACATAAAAGTGAGGCTGCAGAACTGGGCTCCTGGTGGTTTGAGATATGTCAGGTGTGGGAATACTATCTGGAGAGGACCAAGTTCTTCAAAGTCTGTTCTCCAACAAGGAGGCCCTCAGAATAACATCTGAGATTTCAGGTTCTCTGGGAAAAGTTGTAACATTTGGAAAAGAAGACATTATGAACACCATACTAATAGTGCTTGAAATGTCATGTGTTTGAAGAGTTTGATGCAGCCAAGTAGGTGGGTAAATTTAGGCACAAGGGTGCTGCCCTTTCATTCTGGCTTCAAAAGTACATGATCAAGAGAGATCAGTTGTTTGTACCAGATCCAAAATACTTTTTGTGGTTCAAGACTGTTTTTACAAAATAAAGAGAACCATATAGAAGAACCTGGGCAGAAATTTAACCATAAAAGAGTCACCTCTTTTCTGGCTGCTTGGCAGGTAAAGAAGACACAGCCTGCTCACAATAGTTGAAGCAGGAATGAAATACTGAGCTAGATACAGGCACGCTGAGTGAGTCAAATTTATGAAGGGGCAGGGATCTGATACTGCAACATCTTACCCCTCGCTGCTACTGACACAAACTCTGCCACTTCCCCCCAACCCCATGACTTTCTTACCATAAAATTTTGTCCAACCTCAATACTTATAGAACACTCAAACCATGATATGTGAACACAAATTTAAGACAAAACTACACCCAAATTTTTCTGCCCTGAGAAACATTTTATTCTAATTAACCACCAGATAACTTTAATGGTGTTAAACCAGTATTCACAGCACAAAAGGACCATCTCTGGTCTCCCACACATACCTTTTCATGATGCTATTCACATCCTAGAGAGGAAAGAGAAAACAAAGGGTCAAGAAGTAATAAGCCCTCCTCATTTACAAAGCTTCAACATATACCCACCACCCCCTGATATGGTGGGAACAGAGATGGTCCCAATGTGAGAGTCAAAAAGTGAAGACCCCTGTCAGTAATTTCAGGAGACTCATGTGAAGTTGTCCAGTTTCCCAACATATAAAAACAACTTGGACCCTGTGGATGCACAGTTTGAGCTTCCAGTACCAGGAGACGAGACATAGTTATGAGAAAAGCTTGAGGCCTGTGATATTTTTCCCGTGTTCAAGAGGCTTCTCATGAAAGAATTTGAATGAAGCATGGGTTGTTCATTTATTCAACATGAATGTAAAATGATGTGCTATTATCTGTAAAGCATTATGCCTTAGTTGGAAGAATCAAAGGTGAGTAGTTATAGTGTTCCTTGGGGAGTTTACCTGGCTACTGCTGAGGGTACAAGCAGACAAATGTATTGACGTTGGTGTTTCTCAAGTCTCACTTCATTTTATACACGATCTATAAATGACCTCATGAACTCCCTAAATTCAACATACACATGTACAATTGATTTCAAAGTCTTTATATTTACTCAATTTTGTCTTTTAAATCCAGGTTAATATATTTCCTAGTAAAGAATCCGGAGGAACCAGTAACAAAGGATGTCTCATGTGTACCTTAGTCTTCACCAACCAAACTGTCTCCTCCCTTTTACTCCTTTTTCTATGTTACCAATATCCACTCAACCACTGTCCTAAACACTACAATATTTACCTGCATTTCAGTCTATAGAAAGCCAGTTTAGTTCACATCATTAACAGTTTTTAGTCATCTGAACTTCTATATCATCACAGATTTATTTCTTTGAAAACATATGTACAAATATATTTGGTCTCCTTTACCTCAGACTAACTTCTCCCATGACACCAAAAACTAGGCCAACCTCTGAGTCTACACACGCACAGAAAAAATGCTTTGCTCTCTGTATTAAAGCTTTTTTGGTTGTATATGACAAAAACAATTAAAATAGATGAATTAGAAAAAAAGGAATTTGGGGGACAGTTGTAACTTTAATTAAAGCTTAATTTTGAAGCTCAAACACTGTCAGCAGAATCTGGTCTATGTCATTCTCCAAATTCTATTTATTCCCTCTATATCGACTTCATCCTCAGTTCATGAAAGAAACATGAATCTCTTCATATAAATTCCAGAAAATAATGATAATTTGTCTTCCCAGTTATATCAAATACTTCTGAAGCTTGCGTGGCCTTGGGCAGCATTGAATCAAGCACCCATACTAAACTCATCACTGTGTTGTTGCTGGAATAACATTAAGCAGTGTTGGAGGCAAGAAACCATATTTTACTGGAATTAATTTAGCATTAATCTAAAGCAGATTGTAATAAAATAGAGTGTATATTGTAATTAGAAGAGCAACCATCACAAAAATAAAAATAGTAAATCTTAAAATTTTATATTAAAAATATCTGTTTAACTCAAAAAAAGATAGTAAATGAGAAAGAGATCAATGAAAATTACAGGTGACATAGAAGCCAATAACCATATAAATTGTATAGAACAACATCAACAACTGCAGTAAAAGTTATTATCTTTGTCTACCAATCAAAAGGCAGAGATTTTTGAACTAGAAGAAAGGATTTTCAATCATTGCAATCTACAAAAGATATGTTTTTGAGTCAAAGACACAAATATGGCTAAAGTAAAAAGATAGAATTTCTGTCCAAATGGTGGAATAGGTGCTTGTATCCTCCCACAACCACATCAAAATTATAACAAAATTGCCCAGCTGGTGTGGGTCAGTGGTTGAGCATCAACCCTAGCACCAAGAGGTCAACGGTTTGATTCCCAGTCAGGGCACATGCCCAGGTTGTGGGCCAAATCCCCAGTCAGGGATATGCAGGAGGCGGCCAATCTATGTTCTCTCTCATCAATGTTTCTTTCTCTCATTCCCTCTTCCTTCCTCTCTCTCTAAAATCAATAAAGAAAAAAATCAAAATTATAACAAAATTGTAGAATATCCACCCTCGAGAACCACATGATGGCAAGCTGAGTAAAAGTTCTATGATCAAGGATATTAAGAAGAAGCCACCTCGAGACTGGTAGGTGGGGTGGAGACAAGCTTGCTTGTACCACACCCACACATGGAGGTTAAGAAATGGGAGGAACATCTTGGCTGCAGAGGTCCCACCTGAGGAACAAGGAGTCCCAGCCCCAAATCAAACTCCTCAGTTATCAGTACCAAAGTGGGGAAAAGGAGTCCCCACAGTATCTCGCTGTGAAAATCAGCAGGAGCACAGTCCAGGTGAAATGGAGGGCTGTTGTAGATGCAGGCATCCTCTTAAAGGGCCCTAGAACACAGTCACTAGCTCACAAACACTTGTCCTAAGCTCCAGAGAGGGACAGAAGCTTGCAAAAAGCTAGGGACATTCAGAGAGAAACTGAATCATCTGGCTTTAGGTTGAAGGCTGGCATAGCAACTTTCTCCAGGACTAAAGTGCAGACAGGCTAATTTTTTTTTTCTTGTTGAGCACTTCCCCTATGCAGCCTGCAGGCCCAGCCCAGTGCCAAATCTTAGTCTTCATTAACCTGTCAAACACCACACTTGCCACACCCTGGTGGTTCTCTGCAACCCCACCACAACCACTTCAAGTCTCTGGCTGAATCTCCTTCAGAGACAAAGCCACAAAAGCCGCTGCCCTGCAAGCCCACACAGAAGACTTCTTAAAATTTCTCAAAGGTCTGCAAACACTAACAAGTAGTGTCTGAGCTCTAAGTGGCCACAGTCCAACAGTAGTGGCAGCTGACTTTGGTTAACAGCATAGCCTCTCCAAGTCACCTCCATGCCCAGCACAGGCAACCAACAACCCCATACACTTTGTAGCTCCTATCAGGTGGCACTGTACCAGACACAGGCAGTGGCTGAAATTGACTACACTAGAGCCCCTGTCAAGAGGACCCAGAACCAAAAAACCTGCAGGGCGGCTTCAGACCACATCAGAACACCAGAAATGACACACCAAAAGGGTATACTCTGTAGGCACCAGAGTGAATCCTGCTCCATTGAGTCAGTCCCCCTAGAACAGCTTGGTCATTGTAGTCAATGCCATTCCTCACAACCAGTAAGATTCAGGGTCAATCTCACCCATTGAGATGCCAACAGCAATCAAGACTCAACCACAAGAGGAAAAATACACAACCCACAAAAGGAACACCCCTGGAGTACCTGGTTCAAGGGAACAGGGTTACTACAAAGGATACCTCCTACATAATGCCACTCAGCCAAGACTGGGAGACTTAGCAAACACACATAATACATACAAATATACATAGGGAGGCAGCCAAAATGCTGAGACATAGAAATATGTCCCAAATGAAAGATCAAGACAAAACTTCAGAAAAATAACTAAACAATATGGAGGCAAGCAATCTACCAGATAAGTAATTCTAAACACTGGTTATAAGAATACTCAATGAACTTAGAGTAAAAGATGATCTCAGTGAAAACTTCAACGAAGAAATCAGAAACACATAAAAGGAAATAGAAAGCAAAAATAAAGACCCAGTGAAAAAAGAATACAAAGAGAGAATCTGAAAAGCAGTTTGTTACCTATAAGGGGGTTCCCATAAGACTATCAGCTGATTTCTCAATGAAAAATTTGCAGGCAAGAAGAGATTAGCATGAAATATTCAAAGTGATGAAAACCAAGGACCTACAACCTAGTTTACTCTACCCAGCAAGGCTATCATGTATAATTGAAGGAGACATAAAGAGCTTCCAAATAAGAAAAAGCTGAAAAAGTTCATCACCACCAAACCCATATTATAAAAAATATTAAAGGGACTTAAGAAGAAGAAGAAAAAAATAAAAAATATAAATTAAAAACTCAAGAATGGAGATGACATGACCAACAGTATCAACCAGCTTGATCTAATTGACATCTTTAGACCCTTTCACCAAGTGAATGCACAAAACATACATTTTTAAATTTGTATAAAAATTTCTGGACAGTCCTGGCCAGTGTGGCTCAGTTGGGAGGGCATTATTCACGCACCAAAAGGTTGCTGATTTTATTCCCAGGCAGGGAACATGCCCAAATTGTGGGCTCTATGACCAGTAAGAGATGTGCAGGAGGCAGCCAATCGATGTTCCATGCACACACTGATGTTTCTATCTCTCTCCCCCTTGCTCTCAGCCTGAAAGTCAATAAACTATCCTTTAAAAAAAAAAAAAAAAAAAGTTTAGACATACAATATTTTAGAATGTGAAGCAAGTGTCAATACATTTTAAAGATGGAAAAAAATTAAATATTTTTTTCTAATTAGAAAGATATTAAATTTAAAATACACAGCAGAAGGAAAAGTAAAAAATAACCAAGTGTCAGTAAGTTAAACAATACAGTTTCAAACATCCCAAGGGTTCACAAAATAAATCACACAAAAAAAAAATGTGAAAATAAGTTGAATTGAATGAAAATAAAAAGTAAACAATCCAGAAGTGTGAAATATTGTTAAAACACTGCATTTATATAATTAAAAACTATAACAGAAAAGATTGTGTCAAATAAGTGTTCTAAATTCCCACTTTAAGAAACTAGAAGAACAGAAGTTAAATACAATGTACACGCACGCACACACACATACACACACACACACACACACACACACACATGCACATGCAAAAGAAACTATGTAAGTGAAAGCAGAAATCAATTATAGAAAGGTTAAAAAATGGATAAATTAATAAAGTTTTTTTCTTGAAAAAAATTAATTAAATTCACCAAATATAACTAAATTAACTAAAAAATAAATAAAAGACACCTGGTTGGTACGACACAGTGACTGAGCATCGACCAAAAGGTCACCAGTTCAATTCCTGGTCAGGGCACACGCCCAAGTTCTGGGCCAAATCCCCAGTATGGGGCATGCAGAAGGTGGCCAATCTAAGTTCTCTCTCATCAATGATTCCATCTCTCTCTCCCTCTCCTTTCCTCTCTCTCTAAAATCAATAAAGAAAAAACAACTTTTTAATAAATAATAAAAATCACAAAATCAGGAATAAAAGGGGACTATTGCTTACAAATCTGGTAATTTAAAATGTACAAATTTTTACAAAAGTATACATTATTAACAACTGACTCAAGAAATGTAAAAACAAAACAAAACAAAACAAAAAACCTAAGAAAAACTAATTCAAAACCTAAGGTATTTTTGCCCTGGCCAGTTTGGCTCAGCAGTTGGAGCATCGGCCTGTGGACCAGAGAGTCCTGGGTTCAGTTTCCACTAGGGGCACGTACAAAAAAAAAAAACAACAAAAAAAAAACCTAAGGTATTTTAAACCTTTGCAAAAAGAAAGGCCAAGAGTGAGATGGTTTCACTGGTGAATCTAGTGAATAATAAAAGAATAAATGATACTAATACTACATAAATTGGTTATTCAGAAAATACAGAAAGAGGAAGAAAATCTTAACTTATTCAATGAGAACAAAAAATAAATAAAACACAACTCTTGTATTATGAAATGGTACAATGAAAAAGGTTCTAGGGTCGATCACAGATACAGGAGTGTATAAAATATAATTGGACACAATGGATCTTTTTTCCCATCACTTTTGCACTTTAATTGATACATTAATAAAAATGAGAATTCCCCTGGTTATTCATGCATTCAATTATTTCTAGAACTTCTGAAATAGATGCAGGGACGGGTTACTGCAAGACCAAAGGAACCTCAGTGTCACCACCAGAAACAGCACAGCCACACAGTAGAGGAGGAAACTTAGTCTTCATTTTTCTCAAGTTTAGATGCTGGGGTTTATTCCCAAGTCTTACCTGCAGCATCTCTAGTGTTGACCCCTGCAACCGATGCTCCAGATCCAAGATGAGTACTTTCAACAATTGGCTCTGCTTGACCAGTTTACTCTCATCCTGAGCCAGGTCGTTGAGAACATCTCCATCTTCCTTCTTCAACCTTTGCAGCTCCTTCTGCTCCTCATTGTCCAGGATCTCTCTCAGTCTTTTAAAACAATCCTGGACACACTGGTTCTCATTTTCTATTTGATCCTTCAGGAACGAGAAAAAGAGAAAGGGACTCAGCATATCAGGCAGATACTGGGAGCCAGAAATAGAAGTATTTGATTTGGCAGTTCTCACAGGGAAGGGAGATAGAAGCAGGGGAAGAATTGTTGTGGTGGCTGGTTTTTCCTATTTTTTCCTCTTCATCACATTATAAAATAACGTCCTTAGGTCTGCATTAATGAGCCAAGCCTGAACCAAAATGGGACACCTAGATGTGGCTCTGCTCTCACAAACCTGCCCAGGACAGTCATACCTCCCTGCATTACCCCTGACTTGCACAACCCCACCTTCTGCCTAATGTTGAACATCAGGGACAGAGCCATGAGCCATTGGCAACTGTCTTCCCTTGAAAGAGTTAAAGGTTCAAAATAATGACAGAAATTAATACAGAATTTGCTGGTCCTCATCACCAGAGAGTTTCTCTATGAGAATAAGTAACCTACAAATATCTGTGTTAATTTGTCCATTTTCAGCTCCATCCCTATCAGGAAAAGGATAAAGAATAAATAGTCAATGACTGTGGACATATCCACTGTCAGGGAGCAAAGAGAAAGAAAGCTCCTTGTCACTGAAACTCAAGGTCCTGCCCAGATTCTTGTCTAACTCCTTCAGAAAGGGTCTCCTCCTACCTTCCAAGAAGTTCTCTCTTCTCTGATGTCCTCTCTCCACTTCTCAGCTATTTGCTCCTTTGACATCAGCCTTTTCAGATCTTCCTGGAGCTTCTCCTGTGAGAGAGGAATCACACCAGGGTAAAGCTATGGCTTTCTCATCATCAGAAAAGAGGGTAAATGGGGAAGAAATCAGGTTGACCTCTAAAGGGACTCAAGTTTATAGAAACTGTGAAATAACCATTAGAATCTGTGATTTGAAGGAAAACCAGATGTGGTGAATGTGTTCTTTAATACTCAGTGATAGAAGTCACCATTCCCATGTAAAGAAAAGACAGATGCTCTTTGTCCTAGAAAAACAAAAACAAAAAAACAAAAAAACTTGATGCTGTGGTAATGAAATAGCTTAGTTCTTGATCCACCAGCTGCCCAGCCACCCCTCCTATCCAAAGGGGCAATGATAGCTTTGCTTGGGCACCAAACCTCCACCTATTAGCACAAGGTATTAAAATATCTACTTCTGGTTTAGAGTCTCCTCATCATTTTATAATTCTGTGGAATGCACAGAAATGTCCTTCAAGTCTCAGAAGGTAAGTATAGGAAGAAACAAGATCACAGGTCTCAGGGCTATGATGGCAAGGTGATTAGAGTCAAATGCAAAGTGAGATTTCACATCAAGCAGTATTTTCGGCCCTGTCTTTCCTGCATCCTGGTCTATTACCTTGTACTCCTGAGCAACCTCCTCCATGAGGAATGTGTGGTGACCACGGTGCTCTTGAGACCGCTCACAAAGCCAGCAAATGATCTTTTCATCCTCCTTACAGAACAGCAGGAGTCTCTCTCCATGGCGCACACAGAGATCTCTATTTTGTTCCTCCTCTGGGCTCAACTTGACGTTCCTAAGCGTCTCCACTATGTTGGCCAAATGCCGACTAGGCCGCAGGTTCCCAGGCTGGTAACTTAGCCTGCACACTGGGCAGTGACTCTCTCCTTCCTGGCCCAACTCCTTGTTGTTGGCAGTGATGCAGGCTTGACAGAAGCTGTGCCCACAGTCCAGGCTCATGGGTTCTTTCAGGAGCTCCAGGCAGATGGGGCAGGTCACCTCCTCCTTTATGTTTCCCAGGACTCTTGAAGCCATTGCAACTGCTTCCTGCTCCGACCTGTTCTGATGTCCTAGGTTCCTCTTGATCACAGATCCAAGCCTGATGGGAAAGGTTAAAAGGGTGCAGAGTATGAATGGTAGAAATAAATGATGCTAATTGTGTGGAAATCTAAGTGGGCAGAGATCAAAATTGAAGGGAAAACATAATAGCAACAAGGGAAGAATGTGGAAGCCTGGTATAAAAGTTTTTGATAATTTCCAACACTTTAATTCTGGGTCATCTCAAATGACAAATTCTAACTTTATATGTGAAATTGTTATTTTTCTTTACATCTACTGAACAAAACAATGATGTGATGCCTTTTCTATGAAGATCTTTGTGTGACCCACCATCTCACCAGATTCTTTCCTATGCCAAACACATTGTCAATGTTATAGCACCAATCCTGCTATCCATCTGGGCTTGTATACCTGTTCTTCTCTCAGCAGGCAGTGCTGTCCCTGGCAGCATTTGGACTTACTCTCTCCTGACATGTTTATTCATCAAGAGATCTGCTTTGATTTACTTGTTTACACTATACCCATTGTCATCACTTGTTGAACATTTACAATTTATCTTGTTATCATGGCACAATATGTAACAATGCATTTGTATATGTGGCAAGAGCAAACTCTTTTTTTTTTTTCCCCAAATCTTTATTGTTGGATGTAAAATGTATTACAGATGTCCCACATTCCCCCCCCATTAACCCCTTCCTCCCCACTCCCGCCCCCCTCCCACCTTTTCCCACACTATTGTCTGTGTCCATTGGTTATGCACATAAGTTCTTTGGTTTATTTCTTCCCACCCCCCCCCCCAACCCCTTTCCCTTTGAGGTTTGTCAGTCTAGCGATGAATTTGTGCTTCTTAATCCCTTCACCTTTTTCACTCATTCCCCCAACCCCCTTCCCAACTGGCAACCAACAAAATGTTCTCTGTATCTATGAGAATGTTTCTTTTCTTCCTGTTCATTTTGTTTGTAGATTCCATTGTTGGTAGATATGTATTCATTGCCATTTTGTTTGTTCATACATTTTATCTTTTCCTTCAAAAAGACCCTTCATCATTTCATATAATAACGGTTTGGTAGTGATGAACTCCTTTAATTTTTTCTTGTCTGGGAAAGTTTTTATATGTCCATCGATTCTAAATGACAGCTTTGCAGGATAGAGTAATTTTGGTTGTAGGCTCTTGGTTTTCATCACTCTGAATATTTCTTGCCACTCCCTTCTGGCCTGCAGTTTCTTTTGAGAAATCAGCTGACAGCCTAATGGGAACTCCCTTGTAGGTAACTAGCTGCCTTTCTCTTGCTGCTTTTAAGATTCTCTCTTTGTCTTGAACCTTTTGCATTTTGATGATGATGTGTCTTGGTGTGGGCCTCTTGGGGTTCATCTTGTTTGGGACTCTCTGTGCTTCCTGGACTTGTATGTCTGTTTCCTTCACCAAGTTAGGAAAGTTTTCTGCTATTATTGTTTCAAACAGGTTTTCAATTTCTTGTTCTCTCTCTTCTCCTTCTGGCACTCCCAAGATGTGAATGTTGGCACTCTTGAAGTTGTCCCAGAGGCTCCTTACACTATCCTCATTTTTTTGGATTATTTTTTTCTTTTTGCTGTTCTGATTGGGGATTTTTTGCTTCCTTATATTCCAAATAAATGGTTTGCTCCTTGGATTTACATACTCTATTATTGAAGCTGTGTAAATTATTCTTTATTTCAGTTAATGCCTCCTTCAATTCTAACTGTGTATCCATGATTTCTAACTGGTCCTTTTTTATGCTCTTGAGGCCCTCCCTAAGTTCACTGAGGTTCTCACTAAGTTCATTGAGCATCCTTATAAGCAGTATTTTGAACTCAGTATCTGTTAGGTTGCTTATCTCCATTTCGCTTAGTTCTTTTCTTGGGGTTTTATTCTGTTCTTTCATTTGGGACCAGTTTCTTTGTCTCCTCATTTTGGCTGCCTCTCTGTGTTTGTTTCAGTGTATTACTTAATGAGAGGTATGGGGCGCGCTGAGACCAGATGCTGCTCGTTTGAAAGAATTTAGGGAAAACCTGAAGCAGGATCCAAGACCAGCCAATCCTATGGTTAAGCAACTAGCAACAGCTTGGGTGGGCTTGAAAGTTAGGCGGGATGAGGCGGGGCCTCAGGGAGTCAGCAAGGCGGGGCTACCAGTGTGAGCCAGGTTGCTGGAGTCCCAGATATGGCGGCTGTCTACCGCCCCAGGGAAGGGCTCACCAAAGGAACAAAGGCCTCTTACAGCACGTTTGTCCCTGAGAAAGCCCCCTCTCCAGCCCTCGCTCCAGTGCCAAACAGCTCAGTTCTTCCCTCTATGTCTCTGGTGCCCCTTGAGCTGCCTCCCCTCCAAGCTTAGAGGGAGAGAGTCCGATAAGTCCGCGCGCGGGCCCTTTAGGGAGCTGCCTGGGGCTCCAGCCGCTTCAGGTTCCCTGAGCCTCGGTTTCCGCTGGTTTTTCCAGCCAGAAGTTATGGGGACTTCTCTTCCTGGCACTGGAACCCTGAGCGGGGTACCTGGTGTGGGACGGGGACCCCTCAGTCCTCAGGAAGGACCTTCTCAGCCTCGGGAGCCTCCTGATTTTTATCAGCCACACTTGGGTGTGGGACCAGCTGGTCGTGCCATCATTGCGCCGCCACCGCTGCCACCGCCGCCACTACCACCGCCGCCACTGCCGCCGCCGCTGCCGCCGCCGCCACCACCACCGCCACCACCGCCACCACCGCCGCCGCCACCGCCGCCCCTCGTACCGCAGCCCCTCCTACCAGTCTGGATGTGGCTGCTGATTTAATTTCGTAGTTGTAGGACTTCCATTCAGCTTGATTTCAGGCAGTTTTGAATGATGGTTGTTCTGTAGTTTAGTTGTAACTTTGATATGGTTGTGGGAGGACGCGATACCGCGTTTACCTACGCCGCCATCTTGACCGGAAGTCAAGAGAAGACTCTTTACCAGATGTGCATATGGAAATAGTCAGTGAATTACACAAATCATCTATCCTCAATACGCAGAGTTGAAATAAACCTAATATATTTGTTATTCCCCTTCAGAGATCTGTACCCATCCCATGTAATTAATCAATGACAAACTGAGGTAACATCACTGTTACCTATAATAATTAATACCCAAAGTAATGGGGGAAGGGATGGTAATGAAGGGATCCAGACCAGCTAACAGTTTTCGGAGAGTCTTATGCTTCTAAAGAATAAAATTTCAGCCCTAGTTGGTGTGGCTCAGTTACTTGGTCGCCATCCCTTGCATTGAAGGGTTGCTGGTTCGATTCCTGGTCAAGTTGTAGGCACAATCACAGGTAAGGGGCATGCAGGAAGCAGCTGATTAACGCTGTACTCTCATATCGATGTTTCTCTCTCTCTCTCTTATATCAATTTTTATAATCTTTACAATTTTAAAAAAAAGAAAAAAGAATAAAATTTCAATTTAGCCTGGAAGTATGCCAAAGATGTTGATAAGAGACAAAAAAAAATGTATATGTATGTGGATGGTGGGGAGGAAGATGATACAAATATACTCATAGGTTCACACCAGCCACAAACCTAAAAATATAGAAACACAGATGAAATGAATGTCAGTCTTAAGAAAACAGTCTCACAATATTAGGAAAGCTCAATCAACTAATTATCACTGACAATGAATGACATGCTAACAACTGGACTAATACCCATAAACTCAAAGAAGAGTATAAACAAAGGGCTTAAATCACTAGAACCTTGACATTACCTGGAAAGAAACAGTAAATTACGTAATCAGCCATATGTATGAAAATGAGCTGATGTGAAAAACACCTCTAGAGATAGGTGCATGTTGCTGGGAAACCCAGCAACAGGGCAGCAGATGGAGAGTTGTCCAACAATTCCAACCTGAAAACATCAGGGTTGAATTGACTGCTGAAGAACATGAAGAAACTGAGGGAGAGAAAATAAAAGTTATTAGGTAGAGGAAATGACCTGTCCGTGCGAAGATGTACCGCCTTAGCTTTGATTGAAAATGCCAGTGTGTCTGGTGTGAGAAACCTGCTAGGTCTTTGGAATCACATGAGCCTGCAGTGACCATGACATACAACACTTTCCCAGCTGTGTAACCTTTAGGGACACTTTTCCTGGAGCCAAAGAAGTTATCCATATTTTCCCACCAGAGAACACGTGGCACATAATGAGCTCTGCACTTGGGCTGTGGAATGGTAGTTGCAGTGGCTGAAAGAGGGGCTCTATGGATAGTAAGCTCATAGGATGTGATCTGATCATACATTCCTAACGGGGCTGGTCACGGTGGGTCTTCACCCTGAAGACATATAGCTTCTTTACTACAGGATTATCTTTGCCTTAAGCAGGCCCTGTCCATTGTTTCTGTGCACCTAGGTTAGCACGCCTTTGAAATGCCTCTTTTCAGACCTCTCACAAGTGTGACCGCCCTCAAGAGAGCACATGACCTTAACCGTCCTGCAAGCCAGTCCCTGCTTTTGTTTCTCCCACTTTCCTGCACTCTTCCTTAGTATCTTCCTTAATTCCAAATACATAAAAGGAGTTGCAAACCGCTTTTCTAGGAAGCATTTTGCTTAGGGGAGTTAGATATGTGAGAACAGAAGGTTAAAATCAGGTCCGGGCCTTTGGTTTCCTCTTCTAGTAAGCTGGTTTTTGCTGCTGTTATTTCCTGGCTGCGGGGAGGTGTGTTGGGGGAGGGTTGATCTATAGGGTTACAATCAAGAGGAAGTTCAGCTGTCTTGCAAGGCCACATCACTGATAGTAAAAAATGGACCAATTTGTAAAATGCATTTGGACTACAAAGACTACATAAACCTTAAATGCCAGTTAGCAAGCATAGACTTTATTTTTCACAAGGGGCATGCGACTCTTAAAACCAACTGTATTTCTTTTAGGCCCCTAGAAGTTGGGCTCACAGGTTTTCACAAAGTAATCCATCCTCTGTATGGGCTCACATAATCCACGGTAGTCTTGTTAGTGGCAAAAATGGCACCAGGTGGTAACTGGTGGAGTCCCACCAGATCTCGGTTCAGCAACCTCAGTACTTCTGGCTAAGAGAGAAAGAAATTCAGAGCCAAGACTCAAATTATAAGAAAACATTTATTTAGAAAAATTACAGAGTAGAAGTGAGCTGTAGAAGAAATGGGCCCAGGAAACAAGTTACAGAGGCAGAAGGACCTTGGAGCTTCAGGTGAGAGAGAGAGATGTGTCTTGAGAGATGAAAGAAGAGAGAAGGAGAAAAAGTTTGGTCATCCTCCAGGGAGTCAGTGAGCCCTAGAAAAGAAGGAGGTGGTGAAAGGTTCAGGCGTGCTCCACAGAGAGAGAGCCTCACTGGGTCTTCAGTCTTGAGGGCTTTTATTGGGGTGTCAGGGGAGAATCTTAACAAAATAGTCATGAGCATTCCAAGTGTGTCTCCTTAGGGTCATGGTCTCCACAGATCGGTCAAAGCTAGAGGTGGGAGTCATTAGTCATTGTAGCTGGTTCTGATGTCAGCTGTGGCTTCGCTCTGCCTGGCCTTGCTGTCTTTCTGGGCCTGGGGCTGAAACACACCTGAGACCTGGATGTCATCTCCAGGGGTTAATGCTTAAGTGAGTTAGAGTTTTGCCCGTTGCTAGGTACCTGGGGCTCTCTATCCTAGTGACCCTCTGCACCTGGCCTTTCGCTCCTACTCTGCTCAGACCCGTCTAACAGCCTACTACAGTTTCTCACATATCCACTGAGTCTGGCTTCTTAAAAGATTGAGATGACAGGAATAAAGTGCCTCTCGCATCTGTAAAACATCATGGAGGGCACACCTGAAGGAGTATGCCAGCATGCCCTGTCTCCTGTCCTGTATCCCTAGGGTCTGTCTGTCCTCAGCAAGGTGGAGTTAAAAATGCATACCTTACAGATATCTTACCCTGTTGGAAGCGCTTTTGGTTTACTATTGTTGTTTCTTTGTTTTACATTTGTAACGTAAGAATTTTTATCTTGTTTTATAACACCTTACTCTTTTACTGCTGTTCACTTTCCCCATCCCAAAATATGATTTTTGTAGGTACTTAATATTAATCATATGTTCAATAGTCGTTAATACAGTTTTATACCACAAGTATATGTATTTGTTCTTGTGATTTTAATAAATATATCCAAAATTTGTAAAAATTTATTTTCTCCTGTTTTTTGGGACATGTAATAGCCCCCCAAAAAGTTAATTAATACTCATCAGATATGGACCTTGGGCAGGTATAAGGCACAGATTCATGACCTCTGAAAAGGGAGAGTAAAAGAAAGTTCGCTTCAAAATATGTGTAAGAGAGATCAAGGTACAAAATGATTGAAGGTGAGATTAAGATAGATTTATTTTGGCTTTCAGTCAAGATAGCGGTGTAAGTAAACACAGTACTCCCACAACCACATACAAATTAAAACTAAATCCAGAGTAACCATCATTCAGAACTGCCTGAAATCAAGCTGAGCAGAAGTCCTATAACCAAGAATATGAAGAAGAAGCCACATGAAGACTAGTAGGAGGGGTAAAGACACAGAAGGGGCTTGTCTCACACCCACGTGTGACAATTAAAATTTGAGAAGGCTATCTCAACTGTGGAGGTCCCCACCTTGAGGAGCAAGGTGTCCCAGTCACACACCAGAACCCCCAGTTTCATAAAAAGAGGTCTCCATAATATCTGACTGTGAGAATCAGCAGGAATCGTGGCTGATTGTGATTGAAGCTCTTAGAGTGCCAGGCATCTCCTCTTAAAAGGAAGGGCCTGTGGTGAACTCAGAACAGGACCTGGTTTGAACTGTCATGTAACTCTTGGTAAACAAGAACAGAGAGTGCCCAGGAAAAGACAGGGCCGGATACCTGGGTCCGCTGAGCTTGCACACAAGCACACAGACTTCTTAGAGGCAAACCGCCAAGAACAAGAGGCATTGCCTGGCCCAAGGAACTGCTGTTCTTTATATAAATGGTTGAGTTAAAAATAGAACAGGAAGTCCCGGAGAGACTGTTATTGTAAATGTTTTTAACTTCTTTAATAATTTGTTGAATGCTTGATTGAATGTTTGCATTGTAACTTTGTTCAATAAATATGCTGCAGAATACTGGCTCGGGGCTCAGCATCCAGAGAGTGCTGAGTCCTCTGCTCATTCACAGTTTAATTACTGCGTCTGATCCGTTCGTCCCCTTTCATGATCCCACTGTAACACCGCAACAAGGGCCCACACATAGACTCACTTGAACTCACTTGCTCTGAACCACAGGGCAGGGGCAGCAGCTTGAAAGGTGCTAGGAACATCTGAAAGGAACTGAATTGTCTGATTTCAGGACAGGGTTAGAGGGGCAGCTTTCTCCCAGGCAGAAGTGCTGGCAGAGGCCGTTGTTACTTTGCTGAGCCCTCCCCCCACAGAGCAGGCAAGCAAGAATAAGAAGATGAGGGTAACTCAGCCTGGAGAAATAATGGTATCTTCAAGAAACAAATGACTCTTTGATCGTTTAAATATCCCTTCTTTAAAAGTCACTCTTCCCTCAGACTCTGTCTTCCTGCCACCTCAGCAGAGATACATACAAGAACAGCAACTTCAGAACCATGACTAAAGTTACCCAAACACTTTCAACCTGTGTTCTCCCAAAGCCTCCTGTCCTTTGCCCCCAGAAACTGCCCAACTTACTTTCAGGAGATGTACAGGAGTCTTAACTCAGTGGAGACATCAGCTGTAGGTCTGTTCTAGATTCACTCACTAAGCCAAATAGACCAGCTCTCCACAGAGGAGTTTCCTCGCAGGAGAGGGGTAAGAAATGAAAGTCAAATTCATAAGAGTGAAAATGAAACAAAGAAAGCAGAACAGAAATTTAACACATTGTTGACCAACAATTTTATACAGAAGTTATCTCATGTCACCGGCTATTTTTTCGTAATTGAGTATGAAAGTGAAGCAATCTAAATAAACTTCAGTATACTTTATTTACACATAATGAATTTAAATAAAACTTTGTACGTATCCCCTACATATTATATGTTATACATATTATATATTTTAGTAATTTTTTTGATGTGGTATGCTGTATAGCAATCACCTATGCGTAATGGTACACAACATGTTTTGCAAATATATCTGGTTTTACTGCACTTTCCTTTTGAAACACACTTTACACATTGTAGTTGGATTTTTTTTTTTATACCAGTGACTTTTTTCTAAAATGGGGTCTTTTAGTTGCCCTGAAAGCCTAAAAAAGTGAATCAATGTAAGGAGCTCTTTTAGAAGTACCAGAAGAAATGTTGAGTTCTGAGCTGCACTCATTCGAACCAACAGATGTCCATTCCCTAGATACTTCAAGTAAAAATTTTTTGTGTCTTATTTAGTCTGTTGTAATTACAGTAAATTTTGAATGCATTGAATAAAGCGCGATCGATCAGAAAGAATGTTACTTTCATAGACCACTTTATACTTTATCGAAAGATACTGCTGTTCACCAAATATTGGTCTGCTCGATCGACTCCTTTCCTGTATTTGTTGTCGTCTAATATGCATGCAGGTTTAGCTTTTGCTTTCCAGTTGTTTTCATAGAGGCATCGTGGATAGTTGATACAAATTCACTTTTATCTTTCCATGATATAAGGATAATGGGTCTTTTCTGAAAAAAAAAAAACAACATCATTTCCCCTCTCTGAAGATTCTTTGACTTTTCTTTTAGTACCTTTGTCAAGCCATGGTTTTCTCTTGTGGTACCATAGATTAACATTTTCTTTTCTAATAATATTTCAGCTGTAGAAACACTGTTATAGTAATTATCTTGGTATACATGATGCCAAGAATCAAGATATGGCTCTAAGACAGATAATAGTTTCTTGCAGCTTTTGCCTTCACCCAAATAAATCTCGAATGTATCCACTCTCACTTTCACAAAGCATTCTCACTAAAACCCCATAGTTTATTATTTTTGCCGGATTATAGGTTCTGAAGCCGATACATCCTCTATATGGTATCATTGCTTCATGTAGAAATAACTCCTGCTTAGATACATACAAAGACTGAAATTTTGGAAGAAAGTAATCCAAAAGAGGCCTAATGTTATACAGTCTGTATAAAAATATTTGTCTTCATTAGATGTATTTTGTGAATTATCACTAAGATGGAAAAATGTAAGAATTTGCTTGAAATCCTCATTTTGCTCATAGTTTTAGGAAATATTGGAGGTTCAACCAAAGGGTCTGTTGACCAGTAATCCCTCCAATGTAATTTTTTTTTGTTTGTCCCATCAATATCAACAAACCGAGAAACTTCTTTAAATAGGTATTGGTAACTTTTGTCCACAGTACAGTTTTAGTAAATTCTTTGTAAAATTATTCCATTTGGTAGTGGTATAAATTGGTTTGAGAAACAACTAAATAAAAAAAATCATCACTAAAAAGTAATTCTGTCTCTTCCCTGTTGCTCCATGGATCACTAGGGTTGGTAGTTACATCAGAAATATTTGAATAATCCTCCAAAGTTGGTGTAATATCATTTTCAATCCACTCTTCTTTACAATCACTTTCACTATCAGATCTTATTACATTTTTTTTTTTGTCATTTTGGTGGTCTAAATATTTGATTCATTACTGTCTTCCAATAAACTATCAATTTCTATGTCATTACAATATATTTCAAAGTCACTCGGTCAATCAAATAAAGTGTCTGCATATAATTTATTGAAAAGTTCTTCACCTTCATGATCCATCATGGTTAAAACTTTTGTAATACCATAACTGTGATAAAAACCTAAATATCAAGAAAAGTCACTTTTTGTTATAATAAACTGAACACGATTGAACACAATGAAGAAAGATTTTACAAGATCCTTGATATGTATGTTCAAACTGCAAGTGCTTAGACGGCTTGACACTGTGATTGTTTTTGCTTACCGTACCTTCGATTTGGCGGTCTCACACCTAGAGGAGTGGGAAGAAAAGAAGTCCGCATGAGAATATAGAACGAATGGTGTGCTGTTTTTCAAACTTCCACCCTCAGGGTGAAGAGTCACAAATACAATAATCGTATATTACCCTGAGTTTCAAAAATTGAAATAGCTAATGCAAGTTACCTCGTGAGTGGTCAACAATGTGTTAAAACCAGTGCCAATGGGAAGCCATCCTGTAGGACACCAGCTCAGCACTAAATCACTGTGGTTTTATTCCTGTTGCAGATAATTCTAGCAAGAATATTTAAATAAGAAGAATGAATTACAATGATACATTCTACAGTTTACCTGAATACTCACAATTTCAATTCAATTCTATAACTGTTACTTAGGTGTATCCTATATTCAGGTCCTAAACAACTTACTAGGGATAAAATCATGATCCAGAAAGTCTAGGTAGCTGCCCTATATAATGCAGAGTGTGATGGGGAAGATATTCAGTAAAAGAACTGTGTTAATTTGAGCTGAGAAGTAGGAAATGTACTTGTGAAAGATAACACAAATTTTAGAAAAAAAATTATTCTTTTCTAAATAGCAGCTACAAAGAGGTGCTATTTAGAAAAATTTTGAGACTATTGAGAAAATTTTTCCACACCATTGAATCATTTTCTTTTTTTATTGATTTATTTGAGAGAGAAAGATCGTTTGTTGTTCCATTTATTTATTTATTTATTTATTTATTTATTTATTTATTTATTTATTTTAGAGAGAGAGAAAGGGGGAGAGAGATAGAAACACCAATATAGGATTGACTGCCTCTTGTATATCCCATACTGGGGACTGAGCCCACAACCTGGGAATGTGCCCTGACCGGAATCAAACTGGGACCTCTGAGTCCATGGGACAATGCTTAATCCACTGAGCCACACCGGCTGGGCTGTTCCACTTATTTTTATGCATTCATTGGTTGCTTCAAGTATGTGTCCTGACTGGGAATCAAACCTACAACCTTGGTGTATTGAAATTATGCTCTAACCAACTGAACTACCCAATCAGGGCAACAGCATTAAATCTTAGGGGTCCTCTAGTTAATTACCAGTTTTTTGTTCCTGACCTAGGCAGGCCTGATGAGGAAGCCTTCCAGACATAATGGTGGTACAACAATGTCAGTAACGTGTTACCAGCAACTAGAAAGCAGGAAGAGCATAGAGGTTAACAGATGGTGCTCTTCAAGTGGAATCTTTCTCTGGGTAACACTCATACCTCCATAATCATCCACTTTCTCCACTTCCTATTAATTAATTTAAAAAAAAAAAAAAAACTAATGCATAACAGTACTATGTCTCCAAGACAACTCCAAGCTCAACACAAGCAACAACCAATCACATACCACTTTGTGTCTCTTACCAGGTGGCACTGACTGACCTTTCCTCCACCAGAGCCCCTCCCAAGAGGTCCCAAGACCAACACACCTAGAGGCCATCTTCAATATGCACCATAAATCCACTGAATTAGTGCCACAAATGACATACCCAAAGGGAAACTCAGCAGGCACTAGAGTCCTGCTAAAGTGAATTGTACTCCATGAAGTCAGCCTCAGTACAGCAGTTTTTTCACTTAGTCAATGCTATTCCACACAGCCACTCAGCCTGTGTGTCAATCCCATCCACTGACATGCCAAAAGTAATCTAAGCTTAACTATAATAGGCGAGCACACAAAACCCACACTACACTCTTAGAGCACCTGGCTCAGGTGAACCAGGAAATTGCACCACTGGGCCTCAAAGGACACCAATTACATAAGGACACTCTGCCACAACTGAGAGATGTGGCAGAGCTAGAAAACACATAGAAATAAACATACAGAGGAAGCCAAAATGAGGAGACAAAGAAACATATCCCAAATGAAAGATAAGGACTAATTTTTGGAAAAATAACTAAGCAAAATGAAGGCAAGCAATCTACCAGAATAAAAATTCTAAACACACATTACAAGGATGCTCAATGATGTTAGAGGAAGAATAGATGAGAACCTCAACAGAGAGATAGAAAACATAAAAAAGGAGATAGAAAGCATGAAAAAGACTCAGTGAGAAATGAATACAAAGAGAGAACTTTAAAAGCAGCAAGAAAAAAGCACTTAGTTACCTATAGGGGGGCTCCCATAAGACTATCAGGTGATTTTTCGATGGAAACTTTGCAGGCCATAAGATATGGCATGAAATATTTAGAGTGATGAAAAGCAAGAACCTACAACCTAGGTTACTTTACCCAGCAAGGCTATCATTTAGCATTGAGGGGGACATAAAGAGCTTCCCAGATGATTAAAAAAAAAAGCTGAAGTTCATTATCACCAAGCCAGTATTATAAGAAATGTTAAAAGGACTTAAGAGAAGAAAAATAAAATAAAATGAATTAGAAGCCCTGGCCAGTGTGGCTCAGTTTGTTGGAACATCATCCTGTGCACTGAAGGTCCATGGATTAGATTCCTGATCAGGGCACATACCCAGGTTGTGTGTTTCATCTCTGGTTGGGGCACTTGCAGGAAACCAATGTATGTTTCTCTCTTACGTCAATGTTTCTCTTTCTTTCTCGCTCCTCCTCTCTCTCTAGAATCAATAAAAACATATCCTCAGGTGAGGAGTAAATAAATAAATAAATAATAAAAATGAATAAAATCATTATCAAGAATATAGAAGGCATGACCAACATTATCAACCAGCTCAACTTAACTGCTACCTATAGACCGTTTCACCAAATAAAGACACAATACACATTCTTTTCAAATTCATATAAAAATTTTGGAAATACAATATTTTAGGCCATAAATCAAGTGTCAACACATTTAAAAGACTGAAATAATAAAATATCTTTTCT